CAACAAGGTCAGATCATCCAAAAAAAGACAAAGTATAACCGAGAACTTACCTGCAATTGGAGTTAGTTGCAAAATGAAGAGGCTGGTAAGGAGAGAAGAAGAAAACGGAGCTCCAAAGCTGAACACGGCTGCTCAAAATGGTTACAATTCCTTTGTGTCAGAAGGAGAGAGGAAGCTGTAAAAAAAACATATGTCACACTTGACTTTAAAGCCTTGTCATCGGGTCAGTCAGTTCGGTAGTTAGAAAACGGCCATAAAACATCGGTCAATATCGCCGGCATTAACAAATTCTTAACATTATCTTAGAATTATTGTATTTTGAGTGAGGTAATTTAGTGTTGTCACCAGAATTCAAAGCAGTTCGTTCAAATTTGACTCCATTCGTCATGTAACTTCTGATGAAAACATGAGAACAAATAAATAGTAGCCATAATGTAATTGCAACTCAAACCTGCCTTTATGTCTGAAATTCTAACAAATATTTTTATATTATAACTCGCACGAAAATGTATCAGAAATCAATCCTGAAGTAAAGGTCGAGGATGGTGGCATAACATCTCAACACAGTCGCTCCTAAAGTAAAACGGCAGAAAAACGGCTAAATTAAAGTCCAGCTAAAAACCTCACGACCTCATGTATTTAAACAAATTATTCCTACATGGGAAAATAGTTTCAAACGCTAAGGGAATATTACTGACGTAATTTTAAAGCTATGGAGACATATTAATTCAAAATCTTTATACCCTTAGCAACTCAGACAGAGGATGAAACAGTTACAAAAACGACGAACGAAGGAGCTAGTAAACAACTTGCTTCTGAAATATGGTATTGGGTAAGAAACTTTCAGTCAAACCTGCAGTTTCGATGTGCTTGGCTAGACGAGCTTGGTAACTCGTTACTCAAAAACGTTCAGTTGACACCCTCCCAGTATTCAACAATTTCTTTACTGTGCGCACATAAAAACTTTCTCAACAAAATGGCTGTACTAAACCGCCAAACTGCGTGGCGAAAAGCTAAAGAGGACATGAAAAAGGAAAACGAAAACGTGTACTTATCTGCGAAGAGGAGTACATCGACGAAGATGCTGGTTCACCACATGACGGTTTCAAACACTAAAATGAACGGGATGTCCTTTGAGACTTCTGTATATATATATACACGATTAAAATTCATATCACCTGCTAGAAAAGTGTTCCGCTGCATCAGAATATTTCTTTGAGATTTCTGTACGTCAAACAATAAAGCATACAATAATATCAATAAAAAAGATCTCGGGTAAAGCACGCACTCATTCGTAATCATGGAATGTTATTTTCTTCTTTTAGAAGGTATAGGTCACTCTGCCAAATGAAAATTCGTCTCCATCAAATCTTTATAAGAATGAGTTTACAGAAAAGCTGTCCGTTTTATCGTAAAACTTTTTTCCTGTTATGTTCTCTTTTATCTACTTAAATAAATCAAGTAAGGTTCTACAAAATCAAACTCGGTTTTTATTGAAACACTTTTAGGAGAAGCGAATTTACTTCGAATTTCCCTGTTACGCAAATCAGAGCTGTAATTCAATACTGACCTTTTTTCCTCGCATTTATGATGTAAAACGAAAAATGCGTTTCTTGACTTTTTGTCATTTAGACGTCAAAAACGATCATAAGTCACTTAGAACTTAATTATGTATGATCTTGTGAAGAAGCTGGGGAGCCAAGGTGGCAAGGAGAAACTATCTACGTGACTTATGCACTAACCTGCGATCAGGCGTTCTTATTCATTTATTTACGCCGAAAAAAAAAAAGACCGTCTGATCGCAGATTACTTATGCGACAGTCATTCAAAACCCTCCTTTCTCGGGCTTTAACCCGACATTCACGTTTTAGGAAAGTGAAAGTCAGTCGATCCATCTGGGCAAAAGTGAGTGGCGAACTCCCCCGCCCCTGTATGTCCCACACACGCGCTACTCCCTTTTTCCGATCATCAAATCCTTGTTTTTGGAAAATTAAGAAACCTTAGTTGATTATTTGTCCTTTTTTTTAGTATCCTAGAGCCTTTTGGATCTACCGAAAGAGAGTTGAAAAAGCATTATCTCGTCAACATCTAGTTGCCGCTCACTTTGCTTTGAAGCTGGAAGTTACTATACGGTTCAAAAATGAACCCCTGACCGCAAGATAGTGAATTACCCGCCTACTCCCCACAACGGGAGGTAAAGACTGTGATTTTTTATGTATCCCTCGCTTACCAGGGGACCAAAACGGAGTGAATATGGACGGTGCCCTGCTACTTCACGAGGCTGAGGCGGGGTCGGGGTTTTCAGTGGACTGGTGCATTAAAAGTGAGAGTGGACAACAAAAGCTTGTTAGCACGTATTCTATGAAACTCACAATTCTAAAAACGTATTTTTGAATTGTGTAGGAGCAAATTATTAATGAAAAAATTTCACATTATGTTAAAAGTTATAAATTAATATGACGGAATCTTTACGAAGATTGCATTAGAAAACATTTATACCACTTTCATAACTAATTTAACAGCTAGAACTTAACAACTTCGAGAGCATGGCACCTGTGTTTATTAACCTAGAATACATCTGTGTAAGATTGCTTTTAATGATCCTGATTCTGTTAAAAGGATCTAGATTTGCTTATACACCTGAATCTACAAATCAAAAGGACGTTTCGTTAATTTTGTTCTTTTTTCTGTTTTCTTTTTTCACTCGAAGACCAATTCCCAGATAAACTATTACTTTCCTTCAAAGAAAACTTGTTTTGCTCTTATTATATAACGAGATTATCGCTCTACGCCTTAGCTATGAATCCTTGCTTAGTAAACTGCAATTAATTTTCATCACTGACCATAGTTTGTTAATTGAGTCGTAAATGTTTAGCTAATGGAATATTATCTTCCAACTTCCCCAATTAATGTTGCACGTGAGTTCAGCGCGCTGCAAGTCATCACCTCTTACTCCTTTGTTTATGTATACGAATCTTTGCACCTCCACACTAGTTTATTGAACAGTCAGAGGGAAAATCGAACTTACATGTTAAACTGAAGAAAGAGTTTCTTCCTTAGAGGAGGAAAATGTTCTTACGTGGCTGTGTCCTGAATGAAGACTGAATAATATAACTGTTCAATTTCAATCTAATATTAATTACGTATTAGCTTTAAGATTACGCTTTCCTTATTGTTTATTCAGGCATATGGAATCGCACAGAGGGACCTTCACGTAATTATTCCTGAATAAACTTGGCAATTACTGCGCCTTTCAATAACATGCCGACTCTAAAATTCAAAGCTCAACCGACAAATGCATTTGTCGGTTGAGCTTTGAATTTTAGAATGCGCATGTTATTGAAACGCGCAGTAAACAAAACGTGTTTAACAAATTATAGTGGAAGAGTGGCTGCCTTAATGCTATCGGACAGGTTCACAACTAAACAAACAATTCTAACGAATAATACTAATAGTTTTTCGAGCAGAAGATCATTCCTCTCTCGGATCGAAGGTGAGAGGTGAGTACCGGAGAAGTTGATTCATCACCTGCCTTAACGTGTACTCCAACTAACGTTAATTTTCTGTTATCTTCTACAGTTCAGCTTTTTGTTTTCGCTCTATACCTCTGAGACTCAGGTAAGTAATTTAGATATCTGTTCCGCAATAGTTTTCTGTCTGTTCAAAAAATTCGGCAAAATAATGTCGAAAAACACTCGACCGAAAGGTGACTGATCAATCATATTCATACATTCACCCGCACCAAATGCAACTAATAATTATTTTATTAAAACAAGAATAAAAACGCCCGAAAAAAATTACTCTTACCATATTTGTATAAATAAACAATAGTCCTCATTTGGCGTGGAAATATGCCCGGATATTTGTCCGCGGACATTATCTGTTCCCAGTTTTAGCAGGGGAATACTCAGTCACGTGACGCGTTTAAACTAATTACTCGCGAGCGAAAATACTTGATGGATTATAATAGCTCATATGCCATGATGGCTTACCCAATGAAAACTCTCGAATTTCATTATCCATTGGTCCAGTTTTTAATAAATTCTGCTATCCCGCAGAAATGGCCATTCGATTGAGGATTGTGACATGTCTGGCTCTGTTTCTTCTAATGGAAGAAGTCAAGCCTATCCTGGCTAGGGGAGAGGACTATAAGAAGCTGGAAGCCAGGGTGAAGAAACTGGAAAACGCCTTATGTGGAGCAGAACTCGACTGCAAACGTAAGGCGACTTCACCGAGTAAACGTGTCTCCAAACGCCTCTGCAAACAAAACCAACTTAAATTTCACTTAAATTTCGTTTCAGTGTGCTCAATAGTTAAAAACCTTACGGCTTTGGTAGAAAAGATTGCAGACAAGGTTCCAACTCCTCCAAAAGGTAACTTCAAAAAACATATATAATATATCATTAAATACTAAATAAGCCTTCTGGTAGGGTTGTTCGAATTAAGCCGGTTAACCCTAACCCAGGATTAAAAGTTAACCAAAGTATTGATTTTTCTTGTATAAAAATGTTTTTTAATGATGTCTGAAGTACAACTGAATACAAACAAACAAACCTCTCCGAAAAGTAAATAACTGAAATCAAAATTCTCTCTAATCGTGGGTTAGTTTAATCGGGCTTTGAACACGGCCCTGTTCTGTAAGTAGCTTTCTGACTGTTGGTTACAATCAAGTTTAAAGCTTTTAAAGACCTCTTCTGCCAAATTCAAAGTCTCTTCGTAACGACGAATATTTCATTACTAAAAGATGGTAACTAACATCAGTAGGTTTACAGAGAATATAAATATAGTTTAAGTAAGCGATAGCTGAAGTTACAAACTTAACACGCTTTCCGCTATTTTTTACACCGCCACTTTAAAGGCTCCACCGGAGCCTTAAAAGATTCCCCTCCTCCTCCGGATCTGAAGGCAGAGAATAAAATTATTCAATTTGCGAAGATACGGAAGCCGATATGAAGAACAATCGGCTCGACACTGATAAAGTTATGCCTCAGTTTCAAAAAGTAAAATAAAACCGTGACCTTAAAGCAGTAGTCTCTAGTTAGCTCAAGCAGGACCAGCCCATAACAGAATCACAATCTCTTGTTCATAAGCATAAAGGAAAAAAACGTATCATAAGCATTGAAAACAAAACTGAGAAACGTTTCTACTGCTAATTATTTTGTTATCCTTGCAAGCG